AGTGGACATATGATACAGTTTGGTATGGTGCAGTGTGGTTTGTCGTGTGGTCGTGATGAACATAAGATCTCTTGTCTCTTCCAACCGGATAATATCCAGATATCAGTCGTCATGTATGACCCGCCGCGCACGAAGTGCGCGGCTCCCCCTGTATCGTCACCACAGTGAAACGACCGTGGGGTTGCTCTAACCAGAGCCCTTTCGCTTGCAGTAGCGCGCGACCGCCGGAGAAACAAGCGCGTCACGCAGTACGCGTAGACACATGGCTATGTGAAACCGTGGGGGTCACAACGTGATACAAACTAAGCTAAGACATAAGCAAGAAACACGCTGAATTGAAGTTGTACTAGGTTTAAAACTTATCGACTTGTCAATAATCAATATAGTAGTTGGAACAAATATTTTACGAATATCATCAATCATGTCACCCGTTGAATTTTGTTGACGGACGTTACTCGTTTAAATTTTTTCGAAGTAGCGCGCACCATAATTCATAATTTTCTTTTCGAAATATTAGCCCGCGAGGCAAGTGCTACGAAGTAATTCGCGCCGGGTCAGTCCATTAACAATGAACAACACTTGTCACACAGTAACTCTTATTCGCTAATTCATAATTTTATTCAGGTCACTGAGCTTATTTATTATTGTCTATTTTAATATATTATAAAACCTTGTCCATTGTTAATGGACTAATCCAGCGCGCACTATTTCAATTCGTAGTATAGCACTTGCCTCGAGAAGAAATCGGCGCGCGCTTATACATCCGTTCAATAAAGCCCTTGCTCTATCCAAAGCCCTTGCGCGTGCAGTGGTGCACTTTGCACTTGCTTGCGAAACACACTCACTTGTGGAACAAGCAGTGTGCAGTGGCGCAATCAGGGTGAAATAAAACCCTGATCTTTTTTCAATTCAGTTTTACACGCGTAGGAACCTTTTAGTAGAGGCTCTTACGGGCAAAAAGACGTGTTTTCGGCTACGAGTTTAGAGACCTAACCGCTAATTGGACACAATAGTATGATGTTTAAGGATCGATAATATGTTAAGAAGTATAAATTTGGCCTTATTAGTCACGTGCTATACCAATGCGCGTTTTAAACTTTGACAGTCTATTACTCTAAGGCAAATAAAGTGATTATATTCATATTTTGTCAGCAATAAGATCACATTATTTTCTATTTGGTGTGAAAATATGAGCTAGAACGGTCATAATCTCGCTGAGTTATAGCTGTTTGAAATTTATGATGAACGCGCGGGTGCCAATTGATAACAACTAAATGCTTTTGCGCGTAGTGCGCGTCGAAAATTTTGCAAAAACGCTTGCGGAGTGACAATATTCAAACTTCGATAAAGTATATGAAGTGGGTACTTCTTGGAAAGGAAAAATTTAGGCAAACACGATGTGACTATTTTTGGGTTGATTTAATACAACTGCAAAAAATTATTCAAACTTCAAGCAAAAAAGTCAACATTTTTACCACTTTTTTGGATTTTTACCCCAAAAAAAATAGAGGGATTTGTTTTATTTTTATACCATCTTGTGCGGCTGTCTTTTAACTATCTCCATGCAAGTTTTGCTGACATGCCAACAAAATTAACTTGCTCAAAATATCAAAAAACATGGTTTTTTGGCCTATTTTTGGCCCAAAAATCGGTTTTTTGCAATTTTAACCGAGAAAAATCAGTCCAATCATCTTGAAACCACTTTTAATCGATTCTACGGTCAAAAATACGTCTAGTAAGGTGTATCTGGGGTCCCTAGCGTATCGAGCAGACAATGCCCGTAAGAGCTTCTACTATTTTTGCTGTTTCTTTTTAGATCAGTTTTGAATTTAACTTTAGCATTTAGTAAGTTCTTCATTCCACATTCAGTTTTGTTGCATTTAACAATTATTCGCATCCACGTTTTTGATCTCAAGAACAAAGAACTGTCGGTCATGCGTTATTGTTAGCGCAGTTGCCAGTCCCGTATTTTTGTTTTAGAAGGATACTTAGTTGCTTGTTTGCCCATTTAATTTTGCTCGTTGCCAGTTGCATCGCACATCGAGATTTACCTACAACCTAGGGACCTCAGGCTATCATGTTCATAAACATAAAGATTAGGCGGAATGACCTAGGCTGAGCGCGGCCCAGTAAATCTTAACGGGTGATACTCGTAAAATATTTGTGCCATGTCGACGAGTCCAACTCGGCGCGCGTCCTGGTAGGTTGTAAACCTACAAAGTAAATCGAGATTTGGTATTTATGCTATCGAGATTTACTGAGCTGGGCGGTGCTCATAGCTCAGCCTTTCATTCTGCCAAATTTCTATTGTGTATTTATGAACATTATAGCTAGGGGTCTCCAGTATTAGTAATAATAGGAGGTGCACCATAAAAATAAACTTGCTAGGCTCGGATTTTAAAAATTTTTGTACCATTGTTTTCTAGAGACTGTGAGAATTTTCACAATACCAAATTTGTCATACCTTTTTGGAAAGATCAGTGAGTTTTGCCTAGGTGCCATATTTGATGGTGCGCGGCTTTTGGAGCAAAATTAGCTGTAAAAGTCGCGTAATTTGACCAAATTTGACCAAATTCGTTGATTTTTGTCGTATTATTTGGATATATCTTCAGTTCCTTGAATGAAATCATTCTGAAAATTGGTGACGATCTTCCAATAGGGCTTTTACAACTGTCCGAAAAATTTGGTGGATATCGGAGTTGATATAGTGATCAAAATGGGCAAAATACGCTGCTTTTAGCTGTAACATAATGTTTGATGGTTGGATATGCTTTAAACTTTTCGGACACATTTCTTGTAAGTCTATGAGTAAGCTTACCAATTTTTGTTGCAATCGGAGGTCGGGAAGAATACTTAATATCTATTTGTTTGAAGAAAATTGTGCTGGCCGAAATTAGCGCTAAAAAACCATCCCACAGTCGGCACGCGCGGCTCACTGTCGATGGCGCACTACCTAGTAATAATAAGTAATATCGAAATAACATATCGACGTATATAATTTCGGGTAATATCGAAAGGTAATATCGACAATCGAGATGAATTGCATTCAGCATTGATAAAATTAAAAACAAAAAAGGATGAAACTTGACAAATAAATAACTTATCATGGCCATATGTTACCTGCGCTGGGGACCCCAGGCTATTATGTTCAATAAAGATTCGGCGGAATGACAGGCTGAGTGCCGCCCAGTAAGGCCATATGCTGGATATGATCACAATTCATTCCTCAACAAATTGAAATTTAGTCACTTAAGTGATAAGTCACGTTATATATGATATTAGTATTAGCCGCTTGTAGTTATACTTATACTTATAGTTATACACACAATGTGTTGGGATCCTATTTTCAATGTTGTTAAGTTACAGAATTACAATATTGAATACTTTACTGCAATTGTCAATTGTGCTAGCCCCAGTACAGCCACCCTAGCTGCCAATCTAGGTTAAACCTTTTATGAGGATGATTCTAGGTTTATACACCTTTATTATACATTTTAAGAATTAACGCTGCCTGCCAATCGGGTTGCTCTAAGTCTAACCAAAGCCCTCGCAGTAGCTCGCGCCCGCCGAACGGTGGCATTATTTTACTAATGAAACCAGCGCGTCACGCAGTATATTATATACCTTAATTCCCAAAAATTTGGGCGACCAAAAATTTGAGCGGGCCTCTCGCCCAAATTTTTTGCAGACCAAATTAATTGCATAAATCTTTTCCGCCTGCTAAATTTTTTGCTAACCAAACTTTTGGCATTTGGCCTGTGGCCCTGAAATCTATAGAAAGATGGCTTTTTCTTCATATCCAAGTGAAAAAATATTTGAAATTTTAGTTTTCTAATCTATCATTCATGGCTTGACCAAGTAGCAGGGGTCTGGGGGCGCAGCCCCCAGTGTGGTCAAGGGGCGGAGCCCACCGGAAAATTTTTAAGGAAATTAGACAATTTTGACGCATTTTCCAGTACTTGAGGGAAACGAATTTACGTTAGCAGCAACTAAAAGAAAAAGCAAATTAATGTAAGTAGTCCGAATTTAAGCTTGACAGTACATACACGGAATTCATCCATTGTTCGTGGTAACTGGCATGGTATTTAAAGATAACACAATGTAGGGGGGGGGGGGGGGGGGGGGGCTACAGTGCAACAAAACTGTAAACCATAGCCGTCTGGTTTAATGCTTTGTTGAAGAATACATAATTTTCATGTTTTTGTAAACTTGTCCCCCAAATCCCAGGGGGGGGGGGGGGCAGCTGCCCCCTGCCCCCCCCCCCCAGTGATGTAGCCCATGCGCAACACACAATTATGTACACCTTTGTTTCCCCAAAGCTAAGCGTATGTGCCGCTTAGTTTGATAGATCATGATGTAAACCTTCTGATTTTCTTCCAAACCTTTCGACCATCTGGTGAGGCGTCATAATGATAATTGTATGTGAAAGGGGTATGATAAGATATGCTGAGTGTAAGTAGACTAAACTATCTGATTGAGAGACTAAATATCACTATTGTATATCTATCATTTTGTACTGTGCCATCGTCACTGTATTTTTTAGTAGTTACTGGGCAGATCGTAAATTTCATAATGTGAAACAACTCAGACTACCACCTACATGCTTAAAATTGGCAAATATCTAACTGAAATTTTAGTGGAAAATTGTTCATTTTTCGAAGAATTTGTGCCCAAATTTTTGGTCGCCCAAATGAGTTCAAATTTTCTGCCCAAATTTTTCGGGCTCAAATAAATTGTGCTCAATATAATGGCACACAAATTTTTGGGAACTAAGGTACTCGTAGACTGATGGCTATGAGATCAACCAAACGGGCAAGGCAGCAGCGTTATATTAATATACTACGCTGTTGACTTTGAGTAATCCAACCCGAGAGGCTACTTAAAGGCTAGTGCAGATTTAGCGAATTGTTTAGCTTAATTGCGGTGCATTTTTTGTTTCAAAATTTGCAGCACATTTTTATTTGAACCTTGCAGAAAAGGACAAGAAACAAAAAGTTCCCTGTGGAATTTTAATTTCAAATCTGTTGTTATTTCAAGATATTGTTGATCGTATTCCCAAAAACTACATTGAAGTTAAACCAAAGAAAGATGCAGATTTTAGAATTAGAAAAATGTTACCATATGAACTGGTACATTTATCAAAGCTGAATCCTAAACCATTATAGCACTAATAAAGTAAGAAACATCCATAAAACTCTTTAATTGCGAATTGTATTTCACATTTAACGACTTAAAGTAATTTACAAAACACATAACCACACCGCAATGTAAAAATATAAAGAATACTGTCTACAGTTAAATTCACAATTGATGAAAAATATTTCCCGGTACAATATATCATATTTATAAAGAAAGCTAGAACTTTTTCAGCTGAGGTTATAGGGCTATCACTTTTCTTCATTAGAAAAACACCGTTTTTGGGGCAATATTTTTATTGACGTTACAATGAGAAAGATGTCAATGATATGTAAAAGTAAAGGGAAATTATGTACCGCTGGTCGGGAGGATGTAAGTATACCAATATATTTTGTCCCGTCTTCAATTAAAAACTGGTAAAAATCTTTAACAAATGCAATGATGTCACTGAATGCACTAGGAGTTCATCGAATGATGCTGTTTTGCAGTACCGCTTCTTAGGTAAGATCGAAAGAACGGTGTATTTCAAAGATTTAATCATAACTTCATTTAAAGTTATACGGCTTACAAAAATTGAATCAATATTTAATTCTATTTGATTTGCTATTAGCATTATCTCATGCACAGTTACTCAATCTATATTTGACCTCTGTGAATGATGAAGAATATGTTTTAGGAGCAAATGAATGAATGAAACATAATATTAATAATCAAGCGTCCAAGGACTCTGGTTTTGCGGCGTTTAAAAGACGGCTGTAGACCTGCTTCAAAAGGGCAGGATTTCTTTTATGACAGCTCATGTCTCATCTTGAATCTCCGTTCGAAGATCTTAGGAGCCAAGCCAGAGGATCATACGAAATATCCATTGAAGTTCAACATAATATTATGATAATGTCAATCACAAAAGTTTCATGCGTCATGTATTATCTAACCGATTAATTTTATATGTCATTTCCAATGCTCGCGGCATTTGATACAGACTCAAACCCTAGTCATCACCTAAAACTTGAGGAAAGTTCTGAACCATATCGTCAAACAAAGCCGAAATTGAACAGTCGTTTCAACAGCACATCTTTTGAAGAAACAGCATCTATGTGAAGAGGGATTCATTCCGTAAGAGATAGAATAAACTGGCTGGATATTCGTGTAAACAATGCTATAGAAGCTCTGCTGATCTGCTTTAGACACGTTAGATCCCTCTGAGTCGGTCCAAGGGCGTTCAGGCTGTTTAAATAATCTACAGTAATCAACTAATTTATAGTATCGTGCACGACTTTGCTTTTTTGTTCTTCTTTTTCTGAAATGGAAACGATTAGGTAATGAAGAACGATATTGCATGTTGACATTTCTATGAAACTGAGCCTGTTCCAAAAATTTTTTGATGTTGTGATATTATAATAATATAATCAATAAAATCAGAAATAGCAATTTTAAGATTAGAGTTCTCAAAAGGATGTACAATCTGTTGAATCATACTCCAACTCACCCCTGAACTAGGTTTTTCGTCTGATGGGCCAGCTTCAGCTGGTGGTGCAGCTTCTTCAGCAGGTGCAACTTCTGCTGGTGCAGGTTCGGCTGGAGCGGCTTCAGCAGGGGCGGGTTCAGCTGGGGCAGCTTCTTCGGCTGGAGCTGCTTCTTCGGCAGGAGCAGCCTCTGCTGGGGCAGCCTCTTCGACTGGAGCGGCTTCCACTGGGGCAGCTTCTGCTGGAGCGGCTTCCACTGGGGCAGCTTCTGCTGGAGCTGCTTCTTCAACTGGGGCAGCTTCTGCTGGAGCTGCTTCTTCAACTGGGGCAGCTTCTGCTGGAGCTGCTTCTTCGACAGGGGCGGCTTCAGCTGGGGCAGCTTCTACTGGGGCAGCTTCTTCGGCAGGAGCGGCTTCTACTGGGGCGGCCTCTTCAGCGGGTGCAGCTTCTGCTGGGGCAGCTTCTTCAGCGGGAGCAGCTTCTGCTGGAGCGGCCTCTTTAGGGGCGGCCTCTGCTGGAGCGGCTTCTACTGGGGCAGCTTCTTCAGCAGGAGCGGCTTCTACTGGGGCAGCTTCTTCAGCAGGAGCGGCTTCTACTGGGGCGGCCTCTTCAGCGGGAGCAGCTTCTGCTGGGGCTGCTTCTTCGACAGGAGCAGCTTCTAATGGAGCAGCTTCTTCGACAGGAGCGGCTTCTACTGGGGCGGCTTCTTCTACTGGGGCGGCTTCTTCTGCAGGAGCGGCTTCTTCAACTGGAGCAGCTTCTTCGACAGGAGCGGCTTCAACTGGGGCGGCCTCTACTGGAGCAGCTTCTTCGGCAGGAGCAGCTTCAGCAGGAGCGGCTTCTTCGACTGGGGCGGCAGCCTCTTCGACAGGGGCAGCTTCTGCAGGTGCTGCTTCCTCTACAGGGGCAGCTTCTTCGACTGGGGCGGCAGCCTCTTCAACAGGAGCAGCTTCCACTGGTGCTGCTTCTTCGGCAGGAGCGGCTTCAGCAGGTGCTGCCTCTTCTACAGGAGCAGCTTCTTCGACAGGAGCAGCAGCCTCTTCAACAGGAGCAGCTTCCGCTGGTGCTGCTTCTTCGGCAGGAGCGGCTTCAACAGGTGCTGCTTCTTCTATAGGGGCAGCTTCTTCGACTGGGGCGGTAGCCTCTTCAACAGGAGCAGCTTCTGCTGGTGCTGCTTCTTCTACAGGAGCGGCTTCAGCAGGTGCTGCTTCTTCGGCTGGAGCAGCTTCTTCGGCTGGAGCAGCTTCAGCAGGGGCACCTTCTTCCGCTGGTGCTGCTTCCTCGACAGGAGCGGCTTCTGCTGGGGCTGCTTCAGCAGGAGCAGCTTCTTCAACTGGAGCAGCTTCAGCAGGGGCAGCTTCTTCAACTGGAGCAGCTTCAGCAGGGGCAGCTTCTTCAACTGGAGCAGCTTCAGCAGGGGCAGCTTCTTCAACTGGAGCAGCTTCAGCAGGGGCAGCTTCTTCAACTGGAGCAGCTTCAGCAGGGGCAGCTTCTTCAACTGGAGCAGCTTCAGCAGGGGCAGCTTCTTCAACTGGAGCAGCTTCAGCAGGGGCAGCTTCAGCTGGTGCTGCTTCCTCGGCAGGAGCGGCTTCTGCTGGGGCGGCTGCTTCCGGGGCGGCTTCTGCGGGTGCTGCTTCTACTACTGGGGCGGCCTCTTCTACTGCAGCGGGTGCTTCTTCTACCGGAGCTGCTTCGGCGGGAGCTTCTGCAGGTGCGGCTTCAGCAGGCGCAGCTTCGGCTGGGGCGGCTTCTGCCGGTGCGGCTTCTGCCGGTGCGGCTTCTGCCGGTGCGGCTTCTGCCGGTGCAGCTTCTGCCGGTGCAGCTTCTGCCGGTGCAGCTTCTGCCGGTGCGGCTTCTGCCGGTGCAGCTTCTTCTACTGGAGCAGCTTCAACGGGAGCAGCTTCAACAGGAGCTGCTTCGGCAGGTGCGGCGGGGGCTGGAGTATCATCAATTTTAGCTTCTACGGCCGGTGCGGCGTCAGGGGCAGCAACTTCGTCTACCATTATTTCTTCAGAGCTAAAACAGTTTTTTGTTAAAGTAAGATTTATAATCAAATGACGAAATAGTTAAATTTATTATGGTTTTTTTTTCCGTTTCAAAGTATGGTCAGTTGAATTTCAGCTTGTTACAGTCAGAGTCAGTAGAGTCCGTTTGTTATAGCAAAAAAGCTCATCATAAGCCAGTCGTCGGGTGTTAGTAGAACCATATTCACGCTAAGTACATTAAAACACCCCAACGATTGACTAGCATAAAATTATCTTATTGACAGCAACAATCAAAAATCAAAAATCCAAAAGCTTCCACTAATCAAACAAAATTGTGACCGATTTGGTTAAATGCTAAAAGCTGATTCTATAAATATTTCAACCAATCGTAATTTTGTTATTAGCACGGAAATACACCTTTAATCAAACAATCTCATTTGAACAATCATCAATTTGCAAATTAGAAGCAAATATAAGGAAGCACTGAGGCTAAACATGTATTCACATATTTGTAATATAATAAGCTGTTTTGCAAAACTGATAGTCTGTGTAACACGCTCGATTCCAGAATTCACACTTTTGATATGACCTCACAGACGCATTTCTTTCCTCATAACAAGTAACAATCACGATACATTCGCACTCTTCACCGTATGGTGATAGTAATTAAAATCGCATGTGGTGTAATGCCGAGGAAATGAAACCAGGGTTACAATATGATACATCGTTTGAGGGAGGAACAGGGGCAAAGGGTCAAATCAACATCTACCCTAAATGTTTCGATCATCTCGTCGATCTTACTTATTAAAGGACTTTGAGGTTCCTCAATGTCGAAAGATTCCTCATATGTACCGGGTTCGACAGTTATTTTTTCGTGAGATGGTTTGGATGCAACAACAAAGCTGGATCGAGATTCTCCACATTCCGAATTCAAAAGACTGGAAGTATCCAAAATTCCTGGCTCGTCCATAACTTTTAAAATTTCATCCACTTTGAAAGATTCTACCATCTCTTTCAGAAGAGGATCATCCTCTGGAGGGAGAGGGGAGGCAGGTTTCAGTAGTTCAACGCGTTTTCTCTTGTTATTCTTCCTAGCGGTAGCTTCAGCAGCATGATCATAAGGCAACACTCGTTCATATTCACTTTTACCGTTGACTAACTTTATTACTATGAGGGTGCTCTTCGACATCTCATCCTCCGAGCTGACTGGAGATGGCGTGGAAACAGACGCAACTTCCAGATCTTCTTTTGAAACGAACTCAAATCCTTCAATGGTACCAGTATCTGAGGATTCCGACCCAGTTGGAGAGGTAGCGGAAACTTTTACTAGTTGGGAGTCATCGTCTTCGATAGCCAGATTTATCAAGGTATCGGTATCTGTATCATCCTCTGTGTTTTTTAAAGGATCGGTTTCTGCAGCGTCTTCAATGGGCGCTTCTTTTAAAATGTCCTCATCCATATCAATCATGACGATATCTTCGTCAACAGACGCTTCTTTTAGGGTATCAGAATTAGTGCCGGTTTCAGACTGTACGTCTTCTGAATCATCATCAACTTCCAGGTCATCCATAGTTATAACATCGACATCATCCCCAACGGTATCATTCTTTATAATTTCTACATCTGCGCCATCCTCAGCCGATATAGCCTTCTTCTCTTTATCATCGACCATCGCCACATCCTTGGCGTCTTCAGCAAGATACCGAAGATACCTTTCCCTAACGGACTCATTCTTTGTAGAATTACCTTCAGCAGGCAATTGACTAGAAGAATCTGCATCAGCTTCATCAATGACGACGGTATCTTCCTCTAATGATTGACTCTCAGCAGGCAATTGATTGGAAGAATCTGCATCATCATCATCAATGACGATTATATCTTTCACTGCAGAATGACCTTCTGCAGGCAATTTGCTTGAAGAATCTGCATCAGCGACGATGGCGTCTTCAGCAAGATATCGAAGATATCTTCCTCTAACGGACCCATTCTCTGCAGAATGACCTTCAGCAGGCAATTGACTAGAAGAATCTGCATCAGCTTCATCAATGACGACGGTATCTTCCTCTAATGATTGACTCTCAGCAGGCAATTGATTGGAAGAATCTGCATCATCATCATCAATGACGATTATATCTTTCACTGCAGAATGACCTTCTGCAGGCAATTTGCTTGAAGAATCTGCATCAGCGACGATGGCGTCTTCAGCAAGATATCGAAGATATCTTCCTCTAACGGACCCATTCTCTGCAGAATGACCTTCAGCAGGCAATTGACTAGAAGAATCTTCATCAGGGACGATGGCTTCCTCCAAGCTTTTGTTTTCTTCAACAGGCTCTTCCTTTGGAACATCCCCATTAAAGATGACAGCATTATCAACAATTTCTCCCTCAGAAGAATCTGCATCTGCATGATCAATGATGATGGTTACTTCCTGCATTGACGTAGTTTTAGAAGCGTCAGTATCGGCATCATCGCCAACCTTTACGCTAACCACAGAATCTGTATCTGCATCCTCTTCACTTGAACTTGAATAATCACTATGAGAGGAAGAGATGGCGTCCACTGAGGCCATTTCGAGGTCACTCTCAATACCCTCCGATGTAGAGGACCTTGGGAATACCTCATCGTTATTGGATGCACGAGCTGCGGCATCTTTTAATGGTTCTTCTAGTTCCAAGACAGGAGAAAGTGGCTGATCTAGATAGAAACTTCCAGAAAGAGTCTCATCGGATCCAACACTAGATCCGATACTTTCGAATTGTGCTAGAGCGTTAAGCACCTCGATCGCTTCGAGGTCTTCTTGGTGCTCTTTTGAGGAAACACTCGAGGAGGAGCTCGTTGGAGACGGGGACCTGGTATATGACGAGGAGTTAGAGGTACGGGAATCGGAAGAGGAAGATTCATCGTCAGGAGTTAGAGAGTTTACTTGGGACTTGACAAAGAAGTGGAGGTTTGACAATACTGACGGTGAGGAGGGGAGAGCAGCTGAAGGGGCATCTCCGTCTGACTGTCCCGTGTCTATATGCTCTCTGCAATGTCTTGGGTTATTTTAGTCTGCTTTGAAGAAGGAAACACAATAGAACCACACTCCCTTTCAATGACGCCGAAATATCTGACACAAGAAGATGAAAATATTGAAGAAGAAAGAACACTCTTGCTGCGATACCTGTTAAGAAGTGGACTTCCTATCGATGCTAGGTCGGCCTCTAAGCGCTCCAAGATGTCTAGTCTCGGTGGTCTGAAACATCATTGTACTTGTAGAAGTTTCCACATAATCTTGGTAAGAGAACTCCAGAAGGCTTCAAGACAGGAAGAGGAAACAAATAATAGCAGGGTATTTTGAGGGCATAGGCATGGTATCAAGATTTAAAACAAACTCTCAAAGGTACAGAGAAAATAATTGCAGCATTTAAGGTAAGAGTGTGCAAAAAAAAACAGCGTTTAGTAAAATAGCCGAAAGAGCTAAGCTACTACAAAACTACTGCCGAGAGACTGTAGACTAATAGAGTAAAACAGGAGTGGTAAACTAAACCGACAGTGATAATTCGTGTATAATTCGTAAATATCATAGAATATTTATATAGTGTTTCGTTGACGTTTTCTACACAGAATATGCAGCTTGGAAATACGTCAGTTTATCTTCGAGCTTATGTTTCGCCCGCCGTAGCTACATCACAAAACAACACTATGCATACAGCTACTCAGATTGAGAAACAGTGCACACCTGCAATTATCAACACACAAAGCGCAATTACATAATTGGGATAATTGCGACCTTTTAACGTACAGAATTATTCACTGTTACTGTATACAACGGACTGCAGTACTACACGCTACATTATACCGTTTGAACTGTGGAGTCGGAGAACCTAAAGAATAAGGTAGCAGTAAATAAGGACTAATGCACCATCTTCAACAAACTTCAAGCTTGTTTCAGGCAATTAATGGTCGGGTACAGCCAAGTTAGACCGGCAATACATCTACACAGCGAATTTAAACCGATTCACTTGCAAGATAGCATTTACAAAACAAAATTACCATGAGACAGCGATATTTTAAGCATCAAATTGCTCGGTCATTATTAAAGGACACATCGCAAATTAGCTTGGAAGTGCAGTAGCAAAATTGATTGTGAAGTTTAGACTTGGTAAGCGGTGTAACTTTAACATGCTGAGCTAAAAGAATTGTCAGCCAGGGTTAAAACCGAGGTCACATTTATGGTCCCTGTTACGACTTAGATTTCCATTATCCTCCCTAAATCACTTATCTTGGTCCCTACTAGAATATATCCATGGTTACTCCAATGGTAATTGAACCTTCAATGGCAACCCCATGGAAACATAATCAAAACACAAAAAGCACGTAAATGAATGATCCACGGATTCTAGGAATCACGAACGTTGTCTCTAGAATGATAAATATATACGCGCTAATTTATGAGATGCTCTAGGGGGGCCCTTTGTGAAGCGCACGAAATTAAAAGGCTTGGAACGGACCCAAATTCCATTCCGCTACCTACCCCAGTAATGTCTATTCGCATTAGATAATTGTGTAGAAAAGGGTAAATAACATAGATTGTTTCCTGTGCCTACAGATGCAGATTTTTGGAATTTCAGTCGGTTAGCAGACAGCAGTGCCAGGATTTGCTATTTAAACTTTTTCGATAGAATTCTAGGTCAAACAATCAATAGGCAAACTATGCATATGGGGCTGGATTTTTGTGTTATGTCCCGTCCCACGAGCAGTAATAAGATTAGGCTGAAATAAAATATGGAAGATCTCGTTGTGGAGCACCGTTCAGGGAAATTTTCCTAACATCGTTACATAGAACGTCGGTAAATTTGTCACTTATATCAAATTCCTAAATTCCTTCTGTATCTGTGGGCAGCGGGCAGGTAATTCTTGTGACCGATGGTTACAAATGTTTAAAAAACCGCTATATGAGTGGAATCCTGTCCAAGGGCCTGACAAAGTGTGGTCAGAACGAAAAGCAGTCAAGTTTAAGTCGCGATCGTTGAATTTAAATTCAAAAACTGAAACAACAACGAAATTTTAATTTTGCTAAATCAAGTTTTAGAAAAGCAAAATTAAAATGAAAATGATAACTCGTCATTTGTCAAAGCAAATACTCTAGTAGCTTATACCCGAGGTGTGAAAATGGAGAAGTACTTCTAATGACTTATTGGCCCTTCTCGAATTAGACATGGCAAAAAATGCTGTATCACATTTCTAACAAAGTGGAAAGATATCAAGCAGCCGAAAGGATAAATAAAGCATGATTATGGAATATTGACGTGTCAGTAAGAAAATTGCTTCATTTAAGTTTGACCTAACACGATTCATTACTTAGTCGAAAGGAAAAATAATTTGTCAACAGTTTAAATAAAACAGAATGAAGAAATACCAGTTGAATGGAGCATACAAGTACGTGGTTTTAACATCTGTCAATATACATTATACAATAGTTGAATTCAAAGCATGACAGCTCCTTCATAAATAAAAGCGCTAGTTTTCAATCTGCGAAATATTAAAATCTTCATATTCTTTATGATTCGCTATCAATAGCTGCTAGATGACTTTAAATTTTAACATAAAAAGAAAGGATAAATGGACCTTAATAAAACCAGTTGCAATTTGCATAATCTAACCTCAGTAATATAAGGACCATTGACTGCGAGGCGAAACTAAAAGTAATAAAATCATGGTCTCTGCACTAGCTTCGTCCCTCACAAAAACCAGTAACCACTACTCCGAGTCGATGAAACAACAGGCGGCTCCATTTAGGAGCTGCAGTTAAACGCGGGCTCAAATAACGCACATAATGTTACAAAGGAAGGGATCGTGGGAGCTGCATCAACTCAATGTGATTGTCCGCACACATTCCAGCTCCTTAGTGTTTCTATATTTGTTTCTCAGGTCTCCTATTTTTTACGAGCCCAACCCAGTACATTAAATTACTCTGAAAACAGTTTCAAAACCCACGCTAAGACAATCATCAACTAAAGAAACATGCGGCAGTGAAAAATGAATCTGATTTATTGAATCTGATCACGGTCCACACCACACGAAACATAGAGCGGTAACTGGGTTTAAAGTATAACCATTACACACGACCTCCGCTCTCACACAAAGCTGCAGAGAAAAAGTGAAGAAATCTCAGTGAAAGTATACCGCTGCCTGAAGAGAGAGTACAGCACAATAAAAAGAGGGGGAGACTAACAGCTTGGAGCTGCAATATGTGAGGTGCAACGGTAGGTACACACCAAGAGATCATGGGAGGGAACTAAGGAGTTAACAAGGGGGGCAGAGCGGGATTGTACACTATTACTGTACACTATTACTATTAACTATCACTATTAACACGTCGGTGCGTATGCTAGTAACTTAAACTGGTGCACACTGCACATTGACATATTATTAGTATTAACTCTCCGGTAAACGTACTAGTAACTTACTGGTGCACGTACTAGTAACTTACTGGTTAAGGCTCTTCTTGTAGATTACACTGCCTTATAATTTATATACAATGACTAATAGGTCGTTGGCTAATTGTCAGATACACAGCCATGTGCTGTTGATTAATCAGCCACTGACTGGTTTTTGGTAAAAATACTGGCACGGCACCAACTGACTGCTGACCGGTCATCTGCCTAGAACTGAATCGTAAGCTTGCCGTAGAATCAGTAGCATAGTAGAACGTCTGCAGTATAATGCGGGACGAACCATACAGAAATGTACAATGTAGAGGGGAGACGAATAATGTGTCCAGCACACTAGGTACGTGCTAATAAGACTGTCAGGCTTGTACAATGTACATACAAGGGGGCAAATCTTAATCTGACACCATGGCGGTATAGGTAGATACCTATTGAAAAGACAGGAAAAATTAGACAGCAAGCTTGAAAATCTAATATGAGAATTAGATATCTGCAGTAAATGAAAGATAAAAACTGATAATAAATTTGCACATTCAAGATTAAAATATAAGTTAGATGCTGGTTTTCTTATAATAACTTAATTGTGATGTATTCACCGCAAAATTAACTACGGTTACAGGTAAGAGGGTGGGGAAATGAAATCGCTGCTGTCGTTGTTGCTAATTCTATTCTCTGATCCTTCAACAAAACCTCATTTGGTAAGCAATTCACTGGTAATCTTGCAATAAAACTGGTAAATCGTTTACTCATTTGAAGATTAGCAACAAACGTTACTGTCTCAAAGATCTGTAGACGGCAATCAGGTTTTATCGGCAACCAGTCATAACAGTTTTCACTGAGTCTACCAAATTTACTCAAGTCTGCAGTGAAAGTTAATATCACCATTCACCAGACAGAGCAAACAGAGCTCCTCCTAATTCTACTAATTAAACTTAGAATATGTTTGAAAACGGCAAAATGGCATAAACGTATATAATTATAAATTGGCGTTGATCGAGTAAAGGGGTGTGGTACTGGTATGGAAGTTATGATACAATTAAATTACAAATATTAAAATTTGTTTAATGATCAGAAACAGAAATATTAAATAAACCCTAAAAACAAAAAAACGTAAGTTTTCTGGTCAGAAAGTGCACTCCCACCAAAGGTCGTGATGTCAGAACATTACTCATTAGTACACGTGTCCACCACCGTACAAAAAATTTCATATCTGCGGCATGTTGGGAGGAAAAAATGCTAGTTTCAAATTACCAGCGTGCAAGGTCACGTGGGGTATTTCAGAGGACAGTAGCCCGGGAAAGGAGACCGAATTATTAACACCTCCCAGCCGTATTGAAAATTCGGGGGAGTAACTCGTAAACTGGTATTAGATTATCAAATATCCCCCTTCATTCAAATAATCTGGAAGGGACATTTCGGGATGCTGTGGTGGGTTCGGGACAGTCTGTGAATTAGTGTCCCGAATGATCATGGAATGACAACTTTGTGACAAATCAAAATCAAAACGCAAAGCTTGATGATAATGATATTCTGAACTTTGAGTATACGTATTATATAAACGCGGGAGGGAGATAAGGTAACTCTACACGCGTTCTCTCTCAGGTCGAAGTGATAAAGCAGCACGGACACAGTACAGGACATTTGATCCATGCAAAGTCATGAAATCACAAATTGACTGCCACAAGGCTGATATATAATACATATTATTTGAGCTCTACCCCTGCTGACAAAGTCGCGTACGTGCTGCACAGAATAATGTGGTATTTTCGGTGGCATGTCGACAGAAATTCTATTATGTCCTGGTGTCCAGCCCATAGATTTAGTACAACGACCAAGTTACGTGGACGTATTGTGTTGTGAACTGTAGTCATGGGCACTAATTGAAAATCTTAACAGGAATCACCCACGTGGTTTGCCCATTAGTCCAACCAAATCAGGGACAAAAATATTGAATTGCAGAGGGGCCCTGACAGAATTAGGAATTCCAGGAGATAGGGAGAATTGAAAGTAAAAGGGCCCGTACGTGTGAAGTTAGAGGAGGACCGGCCAAATGATTTTAAAAATAGAAACGTACTTTAAGAGGGCGCGGTCGCAGTAAGGGTATAAACTATAAAACCTTGCAAAATGCACTCTCTCCTGGGAAAACCCGGATCGATAATTGGGGAAAAATGCAGGATAATACAAATAATTTAAATGAAAAGAATGTGAGAGTCGTGAGACAAAGCACGAAAGGTCGCAACACCTACTATAGTCGAGCTCATTCCGCGTTACCGAGCCGAGTTGCGGAGAACAAAAAAGGAAATCTGATAATGAGAGTGGGAAGGGTGATGGAAATCCGGTGTGATGGACAGCCTTTGTGAGGCGTGGAGGGACAAAAATAAGCTATGAAATACCTGATGTATATTTATCCTGTGGGCATGATAAGGGTATTGATTCCTCGAAAAAAGGAAATAGATAAGATTATGTTAAAATTAAAATAACTCCCGGATGCTTCATTCTTATCGACGGAATTTGAACTTCTTATCCTGTTTCTAAAATTAGACAAGTTTTTAGAAGATAAAATCATGGGAAAAGTGTACATGATTTCTAGAAGCTTTAAGAAAAAAGCTGTAATGACATCACGTACAAATTTATCACCATAAATTTGTATTTAATGAGAAGGCATGGGCGAAGCACTGGTTTAGGGTTTCAAATGACATGCGGTAATGATAATCTAATTTCCGCTTTTCAACAAGCATTTTTTCAAAGTAGCTGGTTACAATTAGACAGGTCCAAATATAAGGGACTTATCTCGATAGTGACGTGGATAAAAAGGCATACAATTTAAGTGGACGTTAATATTCAACACAATATTTTGGGATTAGGTCTGAGCCCTGAGGTTAATAATTTTGAGGTAGAGATAGAAACATATCTTGCTTTGCTCGTGACAACAATACAATAATTAATTCTATAGACAGAAGTAAACCATTGCTAATGTAACCCCATAAAGCAAGCTGACAAAGCGAGGACTGACCACAACCACAATGCCTGATTGCTAGTAAACACATGTGGTCTCCCTTCACACTACAAACTTCTTCTTATGCACTTGAGGAAGGGGATATTGACCACCCAGGGGAGCAATATACATTGCTGGGGGAATGTGACCTAGCTAGATCACCAGGGCTGCTAGATCACCAGGGCTGCTGTACAAAGCTGTGAACATAATTCTACTCAAATTACAGATCAAAAGTCGCGTCTAACTATTGGTAACAACGCGACAATTATTATACCTTATACATGAGCCGTTTATCTTGAAGCTATTCTATAAAGAGTCTCTTAGTCTTACTGCTCGTGCTATAGTCTATATACTATACTATACTAATCACTATCTGTGATATCCTTACAATTGGTTATCAGAACTAGTCAGACTTTCAAATATTAAAAAACTGTCGTTAATAAAACCGGACAGTAACAGACTGCAGGCCTAACGTACGTGCTATAAAAGTCCATGCGGATAGACTTCATTTTACGATGCCGCATTCGAATGCGGGATTTGTACACAAGGGTAATGATTTACAGTGATTACACTGAGCTAGACGAATAAAATTAACTGTCATACTCATAGGCAGTGATCTGCGGCTGTAAGCGGGAGTGTTTCCAGTCTAATACTTCTACTTTGAAGCGGGTGGAGAAATGGAAAGGAGTACATGGTATGTACTCAGAGTTGGAAATGTCAAGTCAGCGGTAGTCAGCAGTCAGAGTTTTCTGTCTTAATGAAGTGTGAAAAGTGTGTGTCTAATTGTATACTGAGAATTCAATATTCAGGCTGTGAAGATTTATATCACAAAGAGTAAAGGACAGAAGAACAAATAAAAATCTTACCTGGATTCGACAACTGGCGCAACAGACGCAGCCACAATTGGAGCAGATTCCTCTCTGCTTCTTCAACGGGAGCCGACTCTGCAACTGGCGTGTCCTCCACGGGGGCTGCTTCTTCAACAGGAGCGGCTTCTACTGGAGCTGCTTCTTCGACAGGAGCAACTTCTACAGGGGCTGCTTCTACTGGAGCTGCTTCTTCAACAGGAGCAGCTTCAGCAGGGGCAGCTTCTACTGGAGCTGCTTCTTCAACAGGAGCAGCTTCAACAGGGGCAGCTTCTACTGGAGCTGCTTCTTCGACAGGAGCAGCTTCTACAGGGGCTGCTTCTACTGGAGCTGCTTCTTCAACAGGAGCGGCTTCTACAGGGACTGCTTCTTCGGCAGGGGCGGCTTCTACTGGAGCTGCTTCTTCTACAGGGGCTGCTTCTTCGGCAGGGGCGGCTTCTACTGGAGCTGCTTCTTCGACCGGAGCGGCATCTTCAACAGGAGCAGCTTCTACAGGGGCTGCTTCTACTGGAGCTGCTTCTTCAACAGGAGCGGCTTCTACTGGAGCTGCTTCTTCAACAGGAGCGGCTTCTACTGGAGCGGCTTCTTCAACAGGAGCAGCTTCTACTGGAGCTGCTTCTTCGGCAGGGGCGGCTTCTACTGGAGCTGCTTCTTCAACAGGAGCAGCTTCTACTGGAGCTGCTTCTTCAACAGGAGCGGCTTCTACTGGAGCTGCTTCTTCAACAGGAACGGCTTCTACTGGAGCGGCTTCTACTGGGACTGCTTCTTCGACAGGAGCGGCTTCAACAGGGGCGGCTTCTACAGGTGCTGCTTCTTCGACAGGAGCGGCTTCTACTGGGGCTTCTTCTTCGACAGGAGCGGCTTCAACAGGGGCGGCTTCTACAAGGGCTGCTTCTTCGACAGGAGCGGCTTCTACTGGAGCTGCTTCTTCGACAGGAGCGGCTTCTACTGGAGCTGCTTCTTCGACAGGAGCGGCTTCAATAGGGGCTGCTTCTTCAACAGGGGCAGCTTCTACAGGGGCTGCTTCTTCAACAGGAGCGGCTTCTACAGGGGCTGCTTCTTCGACAGGAGCGGCTTCAGCAGGGGCAGCTTCTACAGGGGCTGCTTCTTCGACGGGAGCGGCTTCTACTGGAGCTGCTTCTTCGGCAGGAGCGACTATTACTGGGGCTGCTTCTTCGACAGGAGCTGCTTCTGCAGCAGGAGCTGCTTCTGCAGCAGGAGCTGCTTCGGCTGGGGCAGCTTCTTCAACAGAGGAGGCTTCGACTGGCGCAAGTTCGGCTGGCGCAGGTTCTGCGGCCGGTGCTTCTTCTACAGGAGCAACTGGAGCTTCATTGACATGATTTACTTCAGGGACTTCATCAGCTTGTGGGGTGGAGGGCAATCTGCTGAGAGCAGCGGTTATTGCATCCTTTGATGGCTTTGGAGAAATTGGTGGTGGACCAACAGGCGACGGTTCTGTTAAACAATCTGCATTTTCCGAAGCCATCTCACATGGACCCTGAAAGAATGAAAGTTCGTTACGATTATGAAAATATTTAAATCAAACTAACAAAATAACTGGATTTTAGAGCAGAGATGATCGTCAACTGTTATACAATATGAATAAAATTGTTATACAGATTCTGGACCAGAATTAAAATTACAATTTTACTAATTCAGTATTAGATGAAGAACAGATTCTAGCGTCATATTTGATTAAGTAAAAAATAGCACCTAAAGAATGACAACCCTGTATACGTAATTCCAAAAATGGTCCGGGCTCAGCGCACCCGGAATCAACTTCATACTTTGAAACAAGGCTATATTTGGTTACCAACAGACTGCAGTAACAGAGCGACGGGTACTAATTATTACACCAATTACTGGCTGATCTTACTTTACGTTAAAAAACACGGTGAAATACAATAGCGGTTCAAATTTACAAATTGAAATCCTAGATAAGGGATGTCTAATAATCTGATAAAAGCTGATTGAATCAAGATGATTTCAAATAGAGCGGTCGTGGAACCCTTAACCCAAGAACCTTATCAGTACATACCACCACATACCTACGTTCTGGAATTTGTCGTCTAAAGAGTAAACAATTTACAATACAGATGAGTAACCTTATCCCAGGATTACATATTGGATTTACTAAAAGTTCCTCAACCTAAAAGATTAGCCTAAGCTTCCTCACCCCAGGTGGAAACACTAAGTTTAGTGTTTCACCCCAGGCAGACGGGCGTAAAATTTCCAACTTATCACTGTTATATCTTTTTACACACAAAATCATCGGCTTAGAGATTTGGATCTCTATGGAGCAGTGCGCGCTTTCTCACATACTTCATGTGGAAACACTAAGTTTAGTACATTATTTCAGACTCCAAACATCAGTACACTTCATGTGGAAACACTAAGTTTAGTACATTATTTCAGACTCCAAACATCAGTACACTTCATGTGGAAACACTAAGTTTAGTACATTATTTCAGACTCCAAACATCAGTACACTTCAGGTGGAAACACTAAGTTTAGTACATCATTTCAGACTCCAAACATCAGTACACTTCATGTGGAAACACTAAGTTTAGTACATTATTTCAGACTCCAAACATCAGTACACTTCAGGTGGAAACACTAAGTTTAGTACATTATTTCAGACTCCAAACATCAGTACACTTCAGGTGGAAACACTAAGTTTAGTACATTATTTCAGACTCCAAACATCAGTACACTTCAGGTGGAAACACTAAGTTTAGTGCATCATTTCAGACTCCAAACATCAGTACACTTCAGGGGGAAACACTAAGTTTAGTACATTATTTCAGACTCCAAACATCAGTACACTTCAGGTGGAAACACTAAGTTTAGTGCATCATTTCAGACTCCAAACATCAGTACACTTCAGGTGGAAACACTAAGTTTAGTACATTATTTCAGACTCCAAACATCAGTACACTTCAGGTGGAAACACTAAGTTTAGTACATTATTTCAGACTCCAAGCATCAGTACACTTCAGGTGGAAACACTAAGTTTAGTACATTATTTCAGACTCCAAGCATCAGTACACTTCAGGTGGAAACACTAAGTTTAGTACATTATTTCAGACTCCAAACATCAGTACACTTCAGGTGGAAACACTAAGTTTAGTACATTATTTCAGACTCCAAACGTCAGTTATACATCTGATTTGTATAACCCAGATTTAACTCTCAACCTTCAAGTGCATTTGGTAAGCCAATGAGTTAACATGAATCAGATCTGAAGGTTAGTACAGTGTTACCGGGTGAAGCCTTTGACCCCATTAAAGAAGCCATCCTGGGTTAGAGCTCTCAAAATATTGGCATTGCCTGCGGAGTATAATATTCTGTATTCGTGTTATATCTCTCAACAGGTCGAGTGTTCATGAATAGAAGCAGGTACCCGACCCGTACAGTAATTGTAAAGTTGATTAGTGATGAATCCTGATTGCTGTTGCATTATTCTAATTGATCATTGTTCAATCATCAAATTCTAATTTACTTGTAGCATATTTCTTGTGGAACTATTATACTGCTATTTTTAACTGTCTCGGTAAGTGGTGAATGACAGCCTGTGGTGGTGAAAATGACACAGTGACATGAATTTAAAAAATAATGCGAAGCTTTATATTAAGAGTAGATTTTTCAGGTAAAATTCAACTGTTTCGGTGGCTATAAAGGCCTACGACTACGAATAACATAGTTCAAAATTTTAAGCCGTTCCGTAATTTAATTGCGGTTTAATTTTTTCGTTGAATTTAATTACCAGTAACAATGGAGCTATAAATAGAACTTACCACAAATTTCCCTTCCTTCAAGAGTATAACATACCTATACCATCTAGACAACTTTCATCCATGATATTTCGATGTTTCACATTTTTGTGGGAAAATTATGATGATGTAACACTAACGATAATTCTGTGCCAAAATACCAGAATTATAGTTTGGAATCCACGAAATGTAACCTTTATTTGCAAGGAAGCCTAAATATAGTCCCAGCATTCCAAGCTGTTAGTTTTACAGTGTTAGATATAAAAGCTCTTCGGAATTTGTGGTATTTTGTGCAATTTGTGAATTAAAGATGCACAATCAACACCATGCTATCCAGCTATTAAGCAGTTAGAAATTTAGTAAGTATCACCATATTTGAAAGTGCGCTCGACCGAACGTCGAATTATCGAGTACACCACCTCAAATGTGCATCTAATTAGTGCCAACTCTTTTAGGCTTACAAGAAAGCCAGTACAACAGACAGACTAAACCGTAACAATTAAATTAGGTATTTCTGCAGCACTGCTAAATGAACTTATGAAGAAGTTGTCGACACGATGACAAACACGACCTACACAAATCTACCCTTAAGTAAAACACACTGGCTGATATTTGATCAGTGTTGCTGACACGCACACTGGTTGTAATACTATTGTCGATGGTCCGCAGGAGAGTGGAGCCGTTGATCTAGAGATGGTTATTAAGAGTGGTGATATAAAGATTCTAGTCAGTCTTAGATAACAACTTTAAAAAAAGATTGAGCAGTTTCAGTTAGAATTCGATCAATTTATTTCAAGCTCAGACCTTCTACTTCTAATTACACAGGACTTTTAAAAACACCAGGTTTAAAACTTAAAATCCTCCTCAGTTAACAAATTCTACAGATTACTGATGTGGGTATCGAGTTTCAACATTCAACATCATGATTAATGACAAGAATACCACACATTTGATTATGTTAAAACTTAAAACAGGAGCTGGTATAATATGACACTGAGAGAGAGAGAAGAAGGACCTCCTTGTACATGATAAGTTAGGACCACGAAGATAAACGAACGATTCTGTCAAAGATATAGTAGTGATATGTAGCACAGGGGGTGTTTGCACCGTGTAGTTGACATTTTAACTGTCAAATAGTGACGACCTGGAGCAATGCATGTATGTTGTGGGCGAAGCAGTATAATTGAAAACAGGTAAATTTTAACATCACTCACTGTTGACAGACCAACGAAGAAACTAACGTGATTGGTTCCCGCTCCAGGACAAACCCCTCCCATTGGTCGAGCTGGATCCTGCTCTCTTTGCTCATTGGTGGAAAATGTGCACGTGTCAGGAGGCTGAAGAGCGAGTGGATGCGGGATTATCCTAAACCGGGGACTTGGAAATCTGCTGCAGTGCATTTGGGATCTATTGTACGCCCTGTATAGCCCGTATAACACGTGACTCGATCCATACCTACTGCCGTTACCGTTTAATAATAGCCCAATCAATGTCACACAATGAATCTCTTTGTTCGCAACTTAATATCTTCTCGGATCGATATTAGTCTCATAGACTTGTGGGCAGACGGGCGTAAAATTCCCAACTTATCACTGATATATCTTTTTACACACAAAATCATCGGCTTGAGACTTGAATCTTTATTGAGCAGTGCGCGCTTTCTCACAAACGATCACATACAACCCGGAATTTTTGCCAAACTCAAATTTATAACTTTGCTTCGCTGATGATGATTAAAGATAAATCAACGACGCTCCAAGCACAGCATTCTTCAAAAGCTCAGATATTTAATACGTTAACAAAAGAATCCAATTCGAGAACGTAATTCCTGAGATTGGAAAGAATGCGCTGATGATCCCCTTCTGAGTCGTCATGTTTCCCTTTTAAAATAGCAATGTCAGGAATGCAGTTTGGCTGACGCGTATCTGGATTAGTTGCTCAAACCGTTAATCTGGCGGAAATTAGATACAAACATTAATTATCGTTAATCCTTGTAATCGAGTTTAATGACCGGGGATGCAGATGTCACGAACCCGATACGTGAGTCCGGACTGCACCAAGTAGTCATGAAGTCACGAACCCGATACGTGAGTCCGGACTGCACAAAGTAGTCAGACATTCACGAAACCGATACGTGAGTTCGCACTGCACCAAGTAGTCATGATGTCACGAACTTGCAACGTGAGTCCGGACTGCACCAAGTATTCATCAAGTCACGAACCTGATACGTGAGTCCGGACTGCACCAAGTATTCATCAAGTCACGAACCCGATACGTTAGTCCGGACTGCACCAAGTAGTCAAAAAGTCACGAACCCGATACATGAGTCCGGACTGCACCAAGTAGTCATGAAGTCACGAACCTGGTACGTGAGTCCGGACTGCACCAAGTAGTCATGAAGTCACGAACCCGATACGTGAGTCCGGACTGCACCAAGTAGTCATGAAGTCACGAACTTGATACGCGAGTCCGGACTGCACCAAGTAGTCATGAAGTCACGAACCCGATACGCGAGTCCGGACTGCACCAAGTAGTCATGAAGTCACGAACCCGATACGTGAGTCCAGACTGCACCAAGTAGTCAAAAAAGTCACGAACCCGATACATGAGTCCGGACTGCACCAAGTAGTCATGAAGTCACGAACCTGGTACGTGAGTCCGGACTGCACCAAGTAGTCAAAAAGTCACGAACCCGATACGTGAGTCCGGACTGCACCAAGTAGTCATGAAG